GGTCTGCTGCGGAGAGGAGGACGAGAGGCGCGACGGAGACGTTGCGGGTCACGAGCGACAGCGTCTCGGCTGTTGTGGCGGGCATCTTGGTGACGTGGACTCAGTATCGCCGGGAAAGAGGTGCTGAGAGGGTGACGGTGACGGCGACGTTGGTCGAGTTTGTTGGGGAAGGGCCGTGGTTGTGGTTGTTTGATGCGGCTCTGTCGTGTCCAAAAGCTTCGGAACTGCCATGGTGATAGTGGGTCAGAGCTCCACGCTAGCCATTCAGTGCGTCAGTGGGCGGCATGCATCCACTCCCGATTGTTCAGCGGTCAGGCAAAGAAGTCGAATATTTGGTATCTGAAGAAAGGATAATGTACACAAAATGCTCAATGGAAATGACAAAACCCAAGCCCCCCTTCTTCCGATCAGTCCAGATAGTATCATAGCGTGGCGGTCGGGAAGTAGTACTGATCCCACAGGAACTCATAGTCCTCAATAACACCGCCAACCATATCGAGCAGAGGCTTGCCCTTCAACTTTCCAGTGATGCTGTGGATCCAAGCCCTGTCCGTTGTTAGTCGCCAATCAAAGCAGATAGGCACCAGACTTACTTGGTGATGTTCTCGTAGAAAGCGCCGCGCATTGCCCACCACCCCAGGGACCAGCCCCGCTTGCGCAACTCTTCCTTCTCCAGTCCAGTCAAGCCCCTCAGACCTCCGGCTAGTCGCTCCTGGAAGTCTTTCTTGGCGAGTTGCCTGGCGCCGTACTCCATGCTGACACCGATCAACCACGGCCTCCAGCTCTTTCTGTCGCCGCTGAAGTGTTGCATCGCCAGCGCGTAGACAACCGGTCGGAGAATGTACAGTGCTTCGGCCAGCTCGCCCTTCCCGCTGACTCGATGGAGCAGTGCCTTTGGGGGCTTGATGTCGTCTGCAGTCAGTACCTTGGAGAGAAGGTAGCTGGAGATATCCGACGAGTCTGGTAGGCTCGGCATGGACAGGCCAGTCCTAGGCATGGCCCAGTTCTCTGCCTCGACCGAACGCTCGCTCGGTGGTGTGTCCATGCCGTCTGCCGATGCCGACGACTCCTCGAGTGAGCTTGGGTCAATCTCTCGTTGTGGGAGTGGCGGCGACAGGAGTGGGCGCGAGTTGGTCAACCGAAGCAGCAGCAACCTGCATACTGCTTTGACAATCTCCAACAACACCACGACGCGCCATCGCACCTTCTCGCCCTTGCGCTTCGCCGCCATCTCCCATAGCAGCTCTGTATATTGGATCATCTGGAGCACCAGCGCGATGCGCTTGTATGTGGGCGAGTTCTGCGTCCAGAACTTGGTATAGCGATGATGTGGGGTGAGGGGCTGCCGTCGCGTTCCGGGCATCTGTGCCATGGCTTTCGAAAGGAGCGAATCATGGTATAGGGAGAGCACTTGAACGCCGCTGTGTACTGTGGCTCTGTTAGTCGTGACGGGTGCGTGACGGCCGGGCGCAACCTACTAGATTCGGATGCGACTTCAGACTCTCGGAAGCGACCTATGCATAATCAGCAAGATGCATGCGTGTACACGTCGAAATACTCTACCGGGGATGATGTATGTCAGTGACCGCAGCGCAGACTCTATCTGCGTCACGGCGCTGCTGTTCTTGGTGATGAAGTCCGAGTACATGCCCAGCCATTGCGACGGCATGGACAGCACCTCGCCCGTCTTCTGCGTCGCTTGCTTGTACATGTCTTGCAGTCGCACTCAGCAAAACGCGCCGAGATGGAGCGATTGCGCGACGTCGATGTGGTGGATGCCGAGGTATGCACGTGTAGATAGGAGTGATGGGCGAGGGTGAAGTCATGGATCCATTATCGCGTGCGCTACTGAGTACCGAGGCAGGTGCGGCTCAGCTACCCCGGATGTTCCTCTCCACTCCCAACGAGCACGCTGCTCCCCTTTTCCATCTACTCGTAGCACCTGACGCACGCCATGGTCCCCCGATAACTTCTGCCTTGAGTTGTGCTATGCCAGTGTTGCGAGACGTGTCTGTAGCCCTTGATGGCGTAGAAAAGGGCGCTACCTGGTCCTAAAAGGAAGGTTGTCAAACATGTGACTCCGCGTACGCAGAAAAACGCGTTACACGTCCACCAACAATCTTGTCTCAAATACACAAACATTCCTCCTTGAAGTATCACAAAATCAATCCTGTTACTGGATTCTCTTTAGTTCAAACTTCCCCTCCTGACCCTCAGCTTCATTATCCCCAATACGTATTTAGAAGAGCTTGCAGCATGGAGGACAAGACATCAGACCGTCTTCCCGTGCCACAACTTCCCCTCAAAGAAAACGATCAACCACTCTTCGCCTCGATCAACGCTTTCGTCCATAACTACATGTCAAAGTATGACAACTCCCACGACTACAACCACATCCTGCGCGTCCTTTCCAACGCCCATTACATTCAAACGTATGAACGCGTTAGCAACCCTTCAGTCAAGTATGACACAACAGCCCTCTACCTAGCCGCCCTTCTGCACGACGTTGGCGACCACAAATACGCAAAGCTAGGCGAAGATGTCGAGAATCAGATCAGAGACACCCTTCTAGCCCACGGCGCAAAACCGGAGCTAGCCGACAAGGTTCAGACGATTGTAAAGCACGTCTCGTACACACATGAAGTTCGCAACCCTGATGCCGTCAAGGAAGTACTCAAGGTACATCCTGAGCTAGGCGTCGTACAGGATGCAGATCGAATCGATGCTATCGGTGCAGTGGGTATAGGCCGGTGTTTCTCGTTTGGAGCAGCCAAGATGCCAGATCAGCCTATGGAGAGGGCGGTGAGCCATTTTGAGGAGAAATTGTTCAAATTGGTGGGGATGATGAAGACGAGAAAGGGGAGAGAGATGGCACGGGAGAGACATGCAGTGCTAGAAAGGTTCGCCAAGCAGTGGAAAGAAGAGACAAGGTTGACTTTCAAGGTGGAGTGAGTAGGGACGTGATGCTAGGGGTGTTGGGCAGAACATGTATAAGATGGAACGGGGTCTGTGTTTGTGTTTGGTCAAGACACGGCGAGTATCTGGATACGATCTTCAATGGCCTTTTTGAAACAATCGCCTCGACATTTTCGTGGATACTACTGCGTTTCCTCGGGAAGTCTGACATGGTGTCGAAAAAGCACAGCACCAGGTCTTACTGCAGTATGTGTGTGAGGGGCCAAGCATCATTAATCGAACGAGGGACAATGTCGTTTTTGTTTTTGGTTCTCTTCTCGATTTTGGTCATGTGCACGTTCAGACAAGGTTTCGGAATGGACTCCTGTAGAAAGTGGTTGATCGCCAAATTTGTGATGGACTACTTTACATATCTGAGTAGTGTGTGGGGATGTCAGAGTGTGTCCATTTGGCGCCACACCTATACGCAAAGACCGTACACGGGCGTGGGAATAAGGGTTTGCGGTAATACTACAAAGGGGTTCCAGGGTCTTGTAGAAAGGGTAGAGCATCGGGAGTCTAGAAGACCCGGGCTCGAGTACCGAATGAATGACTTGCAGCAAAGGTATGTTCAACGGCTAACTTTCTGAATCATGACGACATCTTCCAGAAAGATGTGGGATAGTCGTCTTCCAAGGGTTTCCCAATATACTATGTGTGTCATATCTAGATGCAATTATCGGTCACTCTAGAGGCACTGAGTATACTGCGACTGGACGGCCTTCTTTACCGATGAGCATACCTAGATACACGGGCCGAATAAAGTCATGTTCGATCCATATGTAAGCCACAAGTGGAGTGCAATGTAACGTCCAAATATCCTTGCTTTGCTATTGGCTGCGCAATAGGCTCGCGATGCGGCTAGTATCGAGATGTAGCGGGGCTATCGTTTGTGAATGCAACTTACAACCTTGCATCTATTGGACATGCCATGTAAAGAGATCCCGCGGCATCAATAGACAATGATGGTGGTGGTGGTGGATTGTATCAGGGACATGTAGATCAGGGTCCCCGGAACGAAATCCCAGCCAATAAGTGCTGCTCAGCGTGTATCTGTAAGCTTACCAACTCCCATCTAGAGCGTGTACGCATGTGCTCATGTTACCAGACCATTTTAATGTTCGCCGCGCACTCCATCTGTCCAGTACGCTTGTCCACTACAACTAGTTGAACTGTATGTGGATGGCTACGCCAGTGCAGTCAACTTCGCTATCCATAGCATATCTCCGTCAAGTGACATGTCCGACATGCACCGATGATGCCACTAACGCACAGTCCATCCAAACGATGGAATCTGGAATGCGCGGAGTAGGTAGTCCGAGAGAACCACGTTCATACCACCAAACAGGATACGACCGTGAAATCGCGGAGACGGTAAGGGGCCGTTTCGATAGTGGAGACATGTATATTCTGCCCATGTAGATTCAGCCGCGAAAACTTCGATGCGGCTAACTGTGGTCTATGCAATGCCATGCTTAAGCTGAACCGTTACTACAGCAGGATTTAAAACGGCAATCCGGCATCTGATACGCCATCGGAATTTCTTCATCGTGTGGTATTCCCGCCCCATTCATCGGCCACCAAATCCCACCCTGTATTGTCTCCCCCTATTGCGGGTATAATGCGGACGCTACAAAGGGAAGACACAAGGCGCAAGCAATTCCAGAGACAATAATTGGAGATTAAGACATGTAATGAGAAAGTTCTTCGTGCTCTGTTTCACACAAGTCACAGCGCTGGAGAGGGATGCGCACAGCAAAAGACGAACTGCGTGTGGGCCTCTGATTGGCGGGCGGATTCACCGCATCCCAATGAACATCGAGATCTTCTAGCGCTGGTCTTGCTAGCATCGATATTCTAGAACCCCATCTTAAAAGATCGATGTGCACCCGAGTGCTTTTGGATCCTCAAAAAGAAAAGAAAATTAAATACCCATACCCATAAATTCTCCTTCTTTCGCTGTCTTTCGTGTAACAAACGAACTTTGGGACCCCTGTCTGTTCTTCTTACCTTTTTTTCTTGTTCTGCAAGAAATGATAACAGGCATGGCTCGTCCCCTCAGACCACTCCGTCCTGCTGCCATTCGTCCGCGCAACGAGCCGCTCCCTCCCCAACCCCGTGATCGTGTCGCCTCCGCATGCGACCAATGCCGCACACGGAAGATAAAATGCAACGGCGAAAGACCTACATGTCTTGAATGTATCAAGCGCTCCACCGCATGCCACTACGCCACGCAGTCAGCGGAAACACAGAACCAGGCCCTAAAGCGCAAGTTCAAATTGTTGCAAGCCGAGAACGAGGCATACACTGAGTTCTTCGAGTTGATGAAGACTGGTTCGGATAGTGAGAACCGGGAGTTGATGAGAAGGGTCAAGATGGGGGGTGAGATTGAGGATGTGTTGAATAGAATTAAAGAGGCAGATTTACTTGTTCAGTTGAATCCGAGAGTAGAAGATGGGAGCAGAGTGCAGTATATATTGCCGAGTTTGGCGAGCGTGGTGCCGAAAACGGGCATGTTCATGCCCGATAACCCTTATTTCGCTTCGTCGTCGGGGTCTCAGGCGGAGTCTTCTCATAGGAAGGGTTCAGAGTCGAGCGATGCAGCAGCGCAGTATCCAAGTCCGCCGGTGTAGTTGCTGTGTGGCGATAATTTGGACCGAGACAATTCCAGAAAATCGCGAGACTGGAGTGAGCGTCAGGCATCCAGAAGGAGCCCGAACACCGAATCCCCCTAGAAATGGTTCTTCCACGCACCACATGTTGCGAACATCCAGCCGCTCGACATTACCGGTCAGAAGCAGACTACCCAGTAAAGCTGTGGTAGAACAACAGGATAGCTGCTCGTTCCGTAGGTCTTTTTGTCTTCGGTTTTGGATCGACTAACAGTTTCAGCATACTCACAAGAAGCAAAGCTGCTCGGCGAGCGTATAGTGTTGTATCGGGATACAACGTCATGTACTGAAGTATGTCTTTGCGTATGATACATCATACCTAGCTGATATACGCTTGTCCCGAGAAGGGCATGGGAAGACTGGAGAAGTGGAAGGATATCTCATTGTTGATGCCCGAATCACGACCTCGTAATGGAGGACTACGAGCGCCGAAAGTGATAACGAGCTTATGGTCTATGTTATGCTATAGGAAACACGTATTCACTATATAGACACGTCTTACTGGCCTTCGCTCGCACCACGCGTCTTCGTTTCCCAACCCATTACTTCACTCTTTCGCCGTTTCCTCACGCGCTGTAGGATCCACGCCAGCATCAAAACAGCAATCGAAGCAGACTCCGGATCTGTCAGAGGAGTGCTACAAAAAAACACGCGTGAAATCCGGGATCCTGGTGATACGACGAATGGGGGGCGTCCTTAGCCTTCTAGGACATGTAGGTGACGTCCAAATCTGGTTGTGCGACAATGTTCATGGCTGCAGAACTTGACTTTCCTTCCAGCACGATCATGGAGCCTCTTTCACCTTCTCTCCTCCATCGTCGTTCTTCCAGGTTCCTGCATAATGATGCGTCACTAGTTGCGGCGGCAGCAGTTTCTCTTCCTCCGGCTGATACGTGTTCGCAGACGCCGCAAACGACCTCCCCGGCATCACCAAGACATCCCCTACCAATCTTGGCCGCACAAGCTCCTTCATGTCATATGCATCGACGGTTCTGTTGAGCACGCTTCCCAAACTCGTATACACACTGCGCGTCAGACGCCGCGGACCAGTGAAGTCGACCGTATCGCCCATCATATCCATTGTGATGTTATTGACCGAGACGTCAAATTCCGCAGTCTTCTCCTGCAGTGTCTGGAGGATATCGTCGATGACTTGCATCATGTGTGGCGAGCGCGGTTTGGCCATTATAGTCCAGCTCTCGAATTGCCGCTCATATCTGCCCGGCCAACCCTGGTCAAACTCCCATCCTACCACGAGCGCAGCCTTGTCCTTATAAATTTCCGGCACCCACTCATCGATTCGCACATTTTCTTCGCACGAGACGTCTAGGTCGGACCAGACTCCGCCTTCGTTCCAAAGCAGGACATAGCGCAGAAAGTCGGCTTTGTAAATGGGTATGGGTAATGCGAGGTAGGTGTCGACGATATCTGGGCGGGAATCTGCAAACGTCTTGCGGATGTAATCATCGCCGTCGTCTTCCGTTAAGAAGCGCGCTTCATAGTCGGGATTGTTTTTGACGCAGCTGTCGGTCCACGCTTGTGTCTCTTCGGAAAGACCGTTGGGGCCTAACTTGTACCAAATAAGTTTGGGGATGCTGTTAGGTTGTGGCTGCTGCGCAATCGCGGGCGCTCCCGGCGCACGGATGATGAAGCGAGCCTGGACGAAAAGAAAATAGTAGACCAATACTATTGTACATATCGCGATGAACAGGTAGTAATTGAGCGCCTTGGGTAGCTGTAGTGACCGCGATAGCATGATAGAGGCTTAAATGAAGGACTAGAGAAAAGAAAAGGAGAGTGTGAATCCGGAGAACGAATGTAAGACGTTTGCTTACCTTTCTCCAGTAAAGGGAGATCCTTATAAGACCGATAGCGAAGCGCCGCAATATCTCCGACACGGCGGTACCTGCATCTTTCACTCACTTCGGATGCAGTCGTTCTATTAATTCCCCGTTGGTGGCGCTTAGGTGTTCGCATCGCCCTTCGCTAGATGTGGCACGGCGCCATGAACCAGGGTCGACAAGATAACCCTGAACCACGACTAGTTCCGGGAAACCATTCACCAGCTGTGTTTGGTGAGTGGACTTTCGGACTCCGAACGCGCTTCTCTTCTTATTTCCATCATTGAGTTAGCGATGCTTCGACCCAATAGCTCTTACTTGAATGCCTCCTCCTAACAGAGAATGCGGACTGATCGCGGACCTTACAAGAAGCCTCACCATCATCTCGAGAGCAGGAAAGGTCAATACTAAAGGCCAGTGGCAGGAGTACGAGCTCTGGGTGAGGTGTATTTGATATTTTCCATCTAGTTAACTTCCGGGTTCATGGCCGCAATAGGTATATCCTGAGGTTTCAGCCAGCGATACGAAAAGTACAAAGAAATTCCGTTTCATAAGCCACATCATGAGAATGCGCTACAACCACCTTTTGATCTATTACACTGTGAGATTGGCTAGCATGTACGAGGACTCAAGTACATTTACTCATACTCAAAGTCACTTTCTCATCCAGCTTCTGGCTTACGATTTCATCAAATGTCTCCTTTCCTTGGCCGGTCGTTCATCGATTGTTATTATGTTTAAGTGAACTCACTCTAATACTGAGGCCAACCCGTTTTGCCATGGCTCGTCCGGCCGCATATGCTTTGCTCACTACGGTCTTTGCACGTGCGATTAGTGCCAGTTTGGAATTCGTCAGTCCGAAACCTTACAATGCAGACGACAACGTTAGCGACTTTCGAACATACCAGAAAGGTCAAAGTATGATGGTATTATGGTCTGGAGGCGACCCATTGGAGAATGTCTCGATATCACTGGTTCAACAAGACTTTCACAACTTAGTGTATCCAGAAGCGCTGCGGGGTATACATTTCTCAGCTCGATGATAGATGGAACACCAGCTGACTTTTGGTATCAGTGAACTTGGCAGGTGTGAAAGGATTTGAATGGCTCGTAGACACGGACAGAAATCTTACAGATTCGAACTTGTTCTCACTCGCTATTACTGAAGGAAGCACCCAGAGCTCAGCCAGCCAATACTTTTTCATCGAGGAGGATTCCGGTCAAGGGAGCGATTCTGACTTGTCGTCGTCTTCGGCGATATCTCCTACAGCAACGTCAAACGGCGCATCATCTGCAACAAGGACGGCAGCCTCAAACTCAGCATTCCAGTCAACACTAGAATCGACATGGATCTCAACACAACACGAAACAGTGTCTACATTAGACAAGACACAGTCCTCAACGAGAATTCCAATATCAACAAGCTCAGACCTGCCGACCATAGAAACAAACGGACCTAACCTCCCCACCGAATGGATCATAAACGACGGCTTCCCGCTGGGAGCGAAGCTTGGTCTCGGCATAGGGATACCCGTAGCTATTGTCCTCGGGCTTTTAGCTGGATGGCTGATCTTCCGTCGTCAAAAGAGAGATATTGCGGGGCACCAGCTACCCACTAGCGTGAATGGACAACTTGAGCCCGAAAGAGGTCGTCACAATCGTAGCATAGACAGGCATGAAGCGCCAGATCTAGGTCTTCACGAAGCGGCAGCTACTCATGTCCACGAAGCACCCCCAAACCAACTCCTGGAGATAGGGCAGTCAGAGGAGCAGGGTTTATCGAAGCGGAGAGGCGAGGTAGACAATGATTCTACGCTTGAGTCGGTACGGTATGAGATGGATGCCGGCTCTCCCATTGAAGCTTACAATCAAACTGTCAACTGAGGCGGATAATTTGTTAAGACTGATATTTGACATAACAATCTTGTAAGATCAGGTATTGAAAGCGATCAACGTAGTCTTCGAGTACACACCACGTTCATAACATAACGCTTCACTTCTTCTCATCAAAAGTGCCCATCCCGAATCAACTCGGTCATCACAATAATGCATCAACGTATCGGATCCACAAAACAGCAGAAAGATTGCTGCTCTCTTTGGACAAAAAGAAATGAATCAGGTGTGACCTCGAGGCGATTTGAACGCCTAACCTTCAGGAAGCTCCAGGTGGTACTGGAATCTGACGCGCTACCATTGCGCCACGAAGCCTGATTGGATACTCAGTCATCACACTTTGAATGGTAACGTCCACGATCCTTCCGAAGCCCTGTTGCTTGGAGAGTTTCTCTATATTCCAAAAAGTCTCCAAGTCAATTATGGCTAGACTTGGCATTGAAAGTCTGACTCTCCTTAGGAGATGCCACACGTCCGCTCATAGATTCACACCGGAGCAGTGGATTATATGTGTAATCCCACCTCCAAGATAACCACGCATAGGCCACAGACTCCATTTCCGTTTCTATCTGCATTACAACGACCTCTAGTTGAGTTGGACCTGAGGAGAGAGTATGCGTCGCGCGCGCATTACTTCTTCTGAGTATATACTAAAGAGCCCCAAATCGCGTATCTCCGAAGTGTACTCTCTGGTTCCATACGCTCGGAGGCCCACCTCGACCGACACAGAGGAAGGCGGTTGGTGCTGACTGAGCCCCACTGACACGTGACGTCCGCGCATTTTTTGCAAAAAAACCAAATTCCTCACTCAACACCACCACAATCGCGACACTCACGACGACCTGTGCAACTGCAAAAATGCATCGGCCGGGAATCGAACCCGGGGCTAGCCGAAACTGTCCTGTGAAGGATGGCAACGGCTAATTTTACCACTAAACCACCGATGCGAGGTTTGAAACAGCTGAGATGGCTGATTTGATGGAACTATTGGCCTAACCAGGGGTATACATACCCTTGATGGACCACAGAACTTCCAACATTTGTGTCGAATGCAGCCTACATCCACAAGGAGGAGAGGAAGCACCACCAGTGGGCGAGGGAAATTGATCTCGTCGTGCTCCGCGTGACCGGCATGTCGCATGATATCGGCGACGCAAAATATCAGACTAGTGAAGAATAGCGGAGTCAACACCACCCGTTGATCCAGTTCCTCAGTGTTCTAGTTTG